AAACCGAAGCCACACTGGGGAGAGGCTTTGCTGGGGGGTGAGGGATGCAGTGGGGCGCATCCTGCCGGCGCCCGGGTACTGCTTTGCCCTGCCGGGATGGTGCATTACCCCCAGCTCCCGCTCATCCCAGCGGGAATTCCCCCCCACCGGGATAATAATGCTGCAATGGTGGAAAAAAAATCCCCTTGCCGAGAGTCGGGCCTCATCCTGCGTCTCCCCACCGCTGCAAACCCCCAGCCGCCGGTGCGGCGTGTGGTGCTGAGCCCGCTCAGCTCACCCGTCTGGCCCTTCGCTTCGGTCCTGAGGTGGGATGGCTCCGGAAAATGCCGGGAGCGTCACAGGGAGGCTGTGCGAGGGTTGGGGGAACTGAGGCAGGGGCGGGCTGCACCCCTGGAGCCCATCCTCCGGCCCGTAATGACAACAAATTAATCCGGCAGTGAGAGTGTTAATAAACCTTCAGGCTGTAATGAAGTGGGGAGGTCTCAGCTGGTGTCCCTGAGAATTCCAGCATCGTCGTGTTTTGGGGGGACAGATTTCCTGGGGGGACTTGGACCCGTCGCCAGAATATTTGGCTCTAGATGTGTTTCCTCCTTGCTTGGCTGAAAAGACTGATATCAGCTTGGTGGGCAGGTGGGGAAACTGAGGCACGGCTCTGTTCTCCAGAACCGAGCGGGATCCGGCCAGGATCCCTCCCCGTTTCTTCCTGGGGGCCACCAGGGAGAGGGTGGCCTCCACCCGTGGTGAGGATGGTCGGGTTAAGGCTTCCTTCTCTGCTTGCAGAGCGGCTTTGCGGCGCTCGTGTCCCCACCGGGAGCAGGGCGGGGGACACAGCCCCACGGGGCCGGGGGACACAGGCTCATCCCACGAGGAGATGGGGGACACGGGGGTTTGGTGGCTCCAGCAACCCCCGTAGCAGGGGAGCCTGGTGCCAATGTGCTGTGGTGGCCAGGTGGGACATCTCTGCGCCCAGGTCTGTTGGGATGTCTGAGCAGCCAGGACCTGTGGGGGGTCCCTGGGCACATACAGCATTCGGGGTGTCCCTGCCTTTGCGGTGTCTCCACTAATGAGACACTTTGAGTGTCTCTGTGCCCAGGTTCATTTGAGCATCTCCACACCCGGGGTCTTTGGGGCATCTCTATACCCATGGCCTTGGGGGTGTCCAAGCCTCCAGGGACTTTAGGGTGTCCCACACCCACAGCTTGGGGTGTCTCTGCACCCAGGGCCCTTGGACAGTCCCCACAAACGGGACCATTGCCAGCATCTCCACACCCAGCACCCTGGAGAAGAATCTCCTTTCCCAGGGCCAGCGGTGGGTCTCTGTATCCAGAACTTTTGGGGTTTCTTATACCCAGGGCAGTTGGAGCCTCTCCACAACCAAAGCTTTTGGAGTCTCTCTGCACCCAGGGCCCTTGGAGCATCCCTGCACCAAAAAATTTGGGAGCTTCTCACACCCAGGACCTTTAGAGCATCTCCACATCAAAAATTTTTGGGGTATCACTGCACCCAGGGTGTCCCCGGAGCATCTTGGCATCAAAATGTTTGGAGTATCTTTGCACCTCTGGAGTGTCCCTGCACCCAAAATATTTGGAGTGATCATGCCGAGGCCCTTTGCGGTTCCTCCACACCCAAAACTTTTGGGGTATCTCTGCACCTGTGGTCTCTGGAGCAGCTCTGCACCCAAAACTTTTGGGGTATCTCTGAACCCAGAGCCCGTGGAGCATTTCTGCACCCAAAACTTTTGGGGTATCCAGACCCAGGGTCTCTGGAGCATCTCCACAGGTGAAACTTTTGGGGTATCTCTGCACCCGTGGTCTCTGGAGCATCTCTGCACCCAAAACTTTGGGGGTATCTCTGCACCCAGGGCCCTTGGAGCATTTCTGCACCCAAAACTTTCGGGGTATCACTGCACCGAGAGTCTCTGGAGCATCTCCACGCACAAAAGTTTTGGGGTGTCTCTGCATTTCTGCACCCAAAACTTTTGGGGCATCTCAGACCCTGGGCTCTGGAGCATCTCGCCCCCCGGGTGCTGCGTGCGAGGGGGGTCTCCGAGCCCCACAACCAAGAAGACCCCGACCCATCTGCTTCCCAAGACTGCCAGACCATCCCGCACCGCCACCTCCCCGTGCCCCCCACCACCCCAGGAGCTCCCCTCCCGCAGGGCCACAGCCCAGCGCTGGGGTGCCCAAAAAAAAACCAACTCCCTGTCGGACCGCCCCGCGCGGGCCCGCCGGAGAGACGGAGGGCGCCGGGACCGACCCATGTAGGGCTGTGAGAGCCAGGGCGGGCTCCTGACGCGGCCGCGGAGGAAACCAGGCGTCTCTGTGCGCTCGGTGTCATGTACTTCCTAATCCTCCCGGATTCCTCCATCGGGGTGGAGAGGGAGCGGAGGGGAGCTGGACGCCAGCCGGGCTCCTCCGGCGTTCAGCCTCCCCGCCGAGCCCCCGCACCGGCACCGACACCCGCCACGTAGCTCCCCGCCGTCGTGTCACCCCAAAATTCATCTTGTCTGTCTTTCTACCCGGGCAGGACATGAGGAAACACGTCATCATGACGCTGCTGGACACGGAGCAGTCCTACGTGGAGTCCTTGCGCACCTTGATGCAGAGGGACGTGACACCCCAAACCGCGTCCTGGCATGACTGTCCCTTGCTTGTCGCTGTCCCCAGGACCCCAAGCCGGACCCCCAACTGCGGGTGCTCTACCAGCACCGCTGCGGGGTGGGGGTGGATGGGGGACGCTGGGGAGAGCGGGACCGGCGGGGGGGGG